CATGAGCCATGCTTCATGAACTAAGTGCAGATTTGCCAAAACAAAGTAAAACAAGACTTTATAATGAAAAATCATCTTAAGGATCAGAGTATTCCCAATTTTAATTCTCCCCTCCTTTTCTTTTTTAATCTGAAGTGCTAATTAGTATTTCCACAACCACTAGTAGCATTTTTAAAGAAGGATTCAGTGATTTATTTGTTAATATACACAAAAAATCTTCATGTGGAAATGACAAAGTAAGGGACAAGACCTGTGTCATCAGCTGCTATTTATTAGAGCAAGACAAAACAAACAAACCATTGCAAGCACGGAATCAGAGAAACTAGTAAGCATTTGATTTTTATCTCTCTGACTTGAACAGCTGATGAATTATTATTCCTCTCTTAACTTCCCCATATTTCTTTTGCTATGTAGAAACCTTCAGACATTTAATCTGAAGTATCATTTAGCAATGTCATTTTATTATATTGCTCTTGTTTCTCTCCTATTTTGTCTATCATTATACAGACACAAATCTCCAAAGTGCTCTCTTTAAAATAAAATGGAACACAGTCTTTTTTTTTTTTTTTCATCTTTAAAATTGTATACAAAAAAAATCCAACACTGGTAAAAATACATTTTAACAGCAGTTCTCCCTCATCCCCACATTTCATCTCCATTGAATATTAAGCAGCACAAAACAGAAGATGGGGCTTGTTGGCTGCTTCAGACTAGACACATTTCACAACCACAGCATTAAAGACTAATCTAGTGGCATTTATGTAATTATTGAGGCTAAACCCCAAGACATGGACCACAAGCACTCCATTATTTCCTCCTGACCCCTAAATCTGAGCTATCATTTTCTTCTTAGCATTAATTCACCATTGATGTTCTTTCCCTGCATCTGTACAGATACTGAAGAGGGAAATAATCTTTCAGCCTTTCATAAATCATGCAGATGAGCTTATCAAGTCCAAACAGTCTCTGGATTGTTTAGGGGAATGAATAGCTAAAATTAATTTTTAAATGTCAGAAGCACATAGATATTCCAATGGTTTTTCAAGATATAAATTAATCAAACACATTTATGATAACGTAGAATTAAAAAAAAAAAAAAAAGATCCCATATATCTTAGTAATTTCTGAAGACTGAATTTTATAGCTATTTAGTCATCCAAGAACACTGACTGCCAAGCAACAGAGCATTATCATGACTTCAATCAATGAAGCCACTATGCTGCTCCCTCTGAAAATCTGAGAAGGCAGCTCCCTGCAGCAGTGTTCAACAAGGATGTCCCTTAACCCTTCCCACACCATCACCTTGCTTTCTCTTCTCTCTCTTCCTTCTCTACATTATTCCCTTGTTTGGGCTGTAAATCTCTGCTATTGTCTGGTCTTTGCTCTCTGCTGTTTTCTGACCCAGAGCATAATCAGATGCCCACTGGCTGCAGTGACCCACCCTCCTTGCATACGTGAGTCCACAAGTGGCCACCTTCCCAGTTTCCTTAGTATTTTTCTTCACTTTTGCTGCCACTCTGGATAGCCATTTCCCCCTTAAATTCATAAAGGAAAGTCAAATTGTCCCCAGATGCTGCTCTTGCTCAAACAGTCCATCCCTCCCTAGAATCACCCTGGGGAAGAAGCCAATGTTTTGCTTTGCCTCCTCCATTTAAAATGCTGAATGGCCTGCCACAAGGCAGGCTTAAGAGATTCTGGACGTAGTGCTGGCTGTGCCTTCTGCCTACCCACTCATCCCTCTGGCTCTTCCTACAGGGGAGCTGCTGTCCATCATGGGATGGGTTGGGATGGGAAGGAGATAGCTCAGCAAGACTTCATATCACAAAGTACAACTTTTTTGTGCAGCCACAGGAAACCTGCCAAGACCACTACAAGTACTTCCTTCTAGCACTTGGGGAGTAATCCTTCAAACAAGAAAGCCAGACTGGCAGGTCTCCCCACTCTGGGATACAGAGAGTGGAGTGCTGCCCCTGCCATTGAGCTGCTGCTGCTGAGGCCAGGCAGCACCAGCCTCATGGGAACCTGAGCAGGACCTGCCTGGGATTGGAGCAGACTCAGGGTAGGAAAAATGGGGTTATACCCCACAGGGGAACAGAGAAACTTGGAGACCTGTTCAGACAGAGCTACTGCTCTGTCCTTCCCACAATCACTTGGGGACAACACATATGCCATCCCACCATACAGAAGCTGAGCTGCCTCTCATACTGAAGTTTGTGTCTTTTCTCCTCTCAGCTGATCCCAAAATTATGTTTGCTGCAGCTTCCAGCAGCTCTCTGGCTCCTGCCATCCCACCATGTTCTGCAGGCTGCAGTGGGATCTGTGCTGTGGCAGGTGGGCAGCATGGAATGGGAGAGGCTAAAGAGGAGGCTGATCTCACTCTCCATGTGTGTGTCCTGATCCAGGGGGATGGATGTCATACAACAGTCTGATGTGCCCATTGTTAAATGCAGATATTTATCTAGCATGTCCTCAAAAGGACAAGAACAAACTACAAACCAAAATATGCAAAGTAAAACTGTCATCAAAAGAAGTCCCTCTCATCCTTGGAACACAGAGAGGATGAAAACCTCTACCCCCCCCGCCTCCCCCCACCAATGTGGCTCCAGTTTATGCGACATTCAGAAGCAAATCAGCACTAGTACATACAGCATAGGATAAAAATGGTCTTTTTTACTGTTGAGGGAATGGTTATGTATTGCTTAGATGTTGCCATAAAAGCAGACTTGAAAAACTGCCATGAAAGTTCACCTGTGCAAGTACACCACTTTCTTCCCCAATCTTGCAAGAACCATAAAGAAGTAGAAACAAAACACCCTAGTAGCAGTCTGGCTTTCAATGAAAAAAAAATAAAAATTACACAAGCCGAGGAGATGGAAACCTTCCCCTATCTTCCTAAGTGCAGACGGCTCTTTGTAAATATATATAGAACAGTAACAGTTGCCATGAAGACCAAGTCTAAGTAACCACGTATTAGTTCAAGGACACAAAAAACCCCATAAATGCTGGAAAATCCTGTGAGGGGAACAGCAAATGCTTTCTGTGCACAAATCAGGACTCTGCCTCTCTCCTAAGCTGCTGAAGTCCAAACTTGCAACCTGGCAGGTAAAGAGCTCATCATGGCAGAGTGAAGGAAGCTGAGACAGGACAATTGATACCTTTCACCATAGAGAACCCACAGTACAAACTTATGACAAAGTCACATTGTTAAGACATGCAAGATGTGCTGTTTCTCCAGAACATTTCTCCCCAGGAAAAAACAACTTAAAATAGAGAATTTTGGGGGAACAAAGCTTTATTTCAGCAAATGTTTTTTAAAATAAATAGCTAATCCAACTTGAAAACTGTGTCATTAATTGTTACATACCCATGTCTTCTTTTTTCAGGTTAATTTTTTTCCCAGTCAGTGCCTTTTGGTTACATCCACTGTGGGGATGGTTCACAGCAAGACTCCTCATGCAGCACAGCTGGAAATGTGAGTTTCCTCTGTTGGTCAATCTCTGGCATTTATCTGTAACACTGAAGGAAAAAAACCCAAATAAAACAAAGCCCACCAAAATGTCTCTACATGTGGATTCTCATTCAAAGGTTCAGCAATCTACTCTGCCCCACCACACACTGTGCACTATGACTATCAGGCCCTTTGCTGCTTTCCTTAGGGATCTTCCTGTCCTCTTTCTTCCATTCTGGCAGACTTCAGACTGGCCTCAAAGACAAGAGCCAAATTATACACATATCTGCTGTGGGAAGCCTGACTGACACTCTAATCTTTCTGTGCTGGTGTATGAATGGAAGAGGTGGAGAGAATTTGGCCACTAAAATTACAGCCCCATCTGAGAAACAATGCTAATGAATTTTATTCAAAGCAAAATCCAACCCAAAGATGGAGTTCTGGAGAAAACCTGTACAGGACCTCAGGCCAATAACCCTCCAATGCCAAGCAGAGGCCTCATCTCTGAAGGAGGTCAGCAATACTGAGGGACCTGCCCTGTGGCCAGAGACAAAGAAGGTAGCTGCCAAAATCTCATGGAATGACCAAGAATTCCCTACTGTGATGTGATGGTACTTTACCTGTTAGGAAGGCTGTCAGCAAAAATTTAAGCCCAGAATATATTTTGTGCACTGTTAGATACAACAGGGAGTTGAGATCAGCAAAGCATTTGCTAAACTGGCTGCAAAGGCCCCACAGCTTAATGAATAAATAATAAGCTTTGGGTACTTAATATAAACCCAGAGGTGGCATCAGCCAGGGACAGAGCTCTAGAGCAAAATCAGTAACATAAAAAGCAAAGTAAGGAAAAAAAAAGTAAATTCATTTTGTCTATGCTCTTCCTTTATGTATTACATGATGAAGCAGCAGGGAAGTGCTCCCTTAGGCAGTGACAGCCTCTTTCCCCCTCATGCAAGGAAGTGTCCTACGCTACACCTGTGGTGCTGAAATACACGGAGCTTTCCCACTTCTGAGCACTGCTCACTTCTCTACACAAGAAAAATCCTGTTTTCAAAGGTGATGAACTGCCTTAGTTCCCAGTGCCTCCAACATATTCAGAGAATCAATGAATCAATTAGGTAGGAAAAGACCTCTGAGATCACTGAGTCCAAGCCATGCCCTAACACCACCTTGACAACCACACCACTGCACTGAGTGCCACATTCAGTCTTTCCTTAAACACCTCCAGGGACAGTGACTCCACCAGCTCCCTGGGCAGCCCATTCCAATATCTAATCACCCTGTCGAGGAGGAAATTCCTCCTAAAGTCCAACCTAAACCTCCCCTGGAGCAGCTTGAGACTGTGTTCTCTAATCCTTGTCCCTGGCTGTCTGGGAGAACGGTGGGCACGGAAAGCAAACACGCTGCCAGAGGCTGCAGAGGCGCTGCCGGGGCGGGTCGGCCCTCACGGCTGTGCCCGGGCCCCGCCGGCGCCAGCGGGAGGAGCGACAGGCGCCGGAAACCGGAAGGGGAAAAAAACAACCCCGCCCTCAGAAAGCCTCATTTTCCACCCAAAACCCGCCCCGCCCGCCGCCGTGACGTCACGCGCTCCGCCGCTCAGTGCGACGTGTCCCTTGGCCGGCGGTGAGGGCGGCTCGGGGGCCTGGCTGTCCGGCTGTCCCCGGGATCGGGGATGGGGGACCCGGGTGTCCCCGGGAGACCGGGATAAGGGATGGGGGCTGTGCGACGGGGCCAGGGATGGGGCCAGGGATGGGGGATTGCAGGGACTGCGGCAGGCAGGGCCCCTCAGCCGGAGCGAAGGGGAAGGGAGTCGCTGGGGACGCGAGAGAGGCCAGGAGCCTCCTACCAGGGGGTCCGTATGGATTAATGGGAGCAAGTCGCTCCGGTGGGTGTCCCGCCGGCGGTGAGAACAAGGCTCGGCCACAGCATTCTCTCCGTGCTCACCCACCCCCCGGCAGCTTCTGGCGTGGGGGTCTCCTCAAACCGGCGACTTTGGTCTGTTTAGACGCCTTTGGTGGTGTTCTCAGAAACACGCCATAGGACATAAGCTGAAAGCCAAACTGTGATGGAGCTGTTATTTTCTTCTGGGCCGAAAGACACAATTTTCCATATTTTTTTTTTCCTTTTGCAATCAGAAATAGGCCCTCATGTTTATTTGCTGAAACAGTGTCTTCATTTCCTGCAAAGTGGAAGTATCTTTGGTTGGAATATGACACTTTAGGATGTTGTAAGCCTTTAACGAGTTTTGTAGTTAACTGCTACTCCTGTAATTGAAAAGTTGTGGTTTTCAGTATATATGTGGAACCATCAATGCTAAATGTGTCTGTCCTTGCAGGCAATCATGGATCAGGTAATGCAGTTTGTGGAACCCAGCCGTCAGTTTGTAAAAGATTCCATACGACTTGTTAAGAGATGCACCAAGCCTGACAGGAAAGGTAAAGCACACAAAAGCCCAGAACACAATCCTTACTTCATCTTGTAGCTTTGCACGTGTCTTTCCATATGTCACTTCTGTTGATTTGTTTGCTGTGGATGTTTCTCAGTTGCCAATATGAGATTTACACTTGAGCTTTAGTTGTCTAGATGTCAATGTGTTAAAGGTTCTGGCTGTAATAAACTTGAGCATGTTCTTTTCTGGTATGTACACAGGAGTGTGAGTGGTCCTAAAATTCACCTTGGGAGAGAGGTTAAGTAGCTGAAATTCAGTTCTCCACAGTTGTCAGTCATTGCCTGATTGGGGCGGGAACCGTGCCGTGGCTGGGAGTATGGAAGAGGAGGTTTTGGAGTAGAGGCCCTGGAGGGAAGCTATAACTAAAACCAGAATGCAACTGGTCCTGCTTACTGAAAGTTACAGTGCTTTATTCATGTGCTCAGGGTGAACAGGTCTGTGACTTAAGTTTGCTATTGAGATCCGTAAGGAACTTCATTCCTTGTCAGACTGGCAAGTTTCTGAGGGGCTGTTGACGTTCTTGGTCATCTTCATGGTTGCTGTCCTAAAGTAATTGAAAAAACCCCAGGTACTCGAGTTTTTGTAGGGTGTTACGGTGCTGTTCCTCTGTCACAGACATAAATACAGATTTTTCATTTTTGATGCTGTATTGGAGATTACTTTCAGGGCTTGTAGGGATGTAAAGGAAGCATAATGGGATCAATGTTCCATGAATTGTCATTGTGGATATTTTTGATTCTGCTTATTTAAAAAAGATTGTGATCAGCCATTCTTTGTGGAAATCTTCTCTCTGAAAATCTTACCAGTCTTCTGAAAAAGTGGATTTGTTTCTCAGGATCTGTGCAGATTTTCAAGTGTTTTCAGTGTTAACATGGCTCTGTGAAGACAGACCTCTCCTTTGGTCACTGCAGTGCACATCTGCCTGCTGTACATGAGACTTCTTGACAAATTTTTTTGTTTGTTTTTTGCAGAGTTCCAGAAGATTGCCATGGCAACAGCAATAGGCTTTGCGATAATGGGATTTATTGGTTTCTTTGTCAAATTGATCCATATCCCTATCAACAATATAATTGTGTAAGTGAATATGGCATTCAATTTCACTAAAGTTTCACCTGTTCAGTTTTAAACAGAGGACATCAGTGAGCCCTAGGGCACCCATGTTGTTTTCATGTCTGTGCATTTCACATGTTAGTATAATATGACAAGTATTACTCGATTCAAAGGGCTTTGTGAGCAATGTTAATGAACTTTATGTTAATTCAGCCTGCTGAAAAGTATTAGATTCATAGTTCTTAAGTTTTTTTCTGAGTATTCTGCTTCAAAACTGAACATAAGATATTTTGATTTCCAGTTCCTCAGTGTATGTTTGACCATAGAACATTTACCTTATTTGGATCTTATATACTCTTATTGTTTCCTGTTTATAATTTGGGTATCCAAAGTAAATGGATGGATGGATGGTAAGTTAAGGAAAACTGAGTGGGTGTGCTGTAGGATGACAGGGCACAGAACAAAGTTGGTCTTGTTTAATTTACTGAGTGCTAGATATGTTTGAAACATTTTTTTATGTGTAAAATCCCTTTTGGAATGAATGTTACATCATGAAAAATTTGAACTTAAAGTTAACTGGCACCATGGTACTGACATATTAACAGTACCAGTTAAAACTCCTCATATTCTCCAGAGATGATGTGATCCCCTCTCTAGCACTGGAAGAGGTTAAAGACAGTTCTGTGTCCATGATGTGTGACTTCCTTATACCTGTAGGAGTGGTTGGTCATCTAGGCAAGGAGCGTTTGAAAATGGGAAATAAGCTGTAATGGTTGTCCTAACAAGGCAGTGGTGGGAGGATAAGTAAGACTTCAAGTGAGATCACTTGATCACACTTCATTAGTTGAAACTGATTACTTTGTTCTCTCAACAGAGGTGGCTGAATGTTCATCATGAAGAAGACAGTTGTGACACCTGCTACAATGATTTCACAGCTTTCATTTGTTTGATATTAAACAAGCTTAGTTTGGGTTTTCAAACATTCTTGTCATCTTATTTCTTTTTTAAAGTGTATGTGATCATACCTGTCTACAGGCTTTACAGGCTTTTTATTTTTCGTAATAGTAGTTGTGTGTTTTACTTCTTTTGTTACTTCTTTTAACCATAGTAGAATCATTCAGATGGGAAGGAAGCTTGGAAGATGTCTAGTCCAATGTTCTGCTTGAAGCTGGGTCAGTGTTGAAATCCAGTGAGGTTGCCTAAGATTTTCTCTAAATACTGAAAGCTTCCAAAGGGGGACAGCTGTATGACCTCTTTTCAGGAGCTGTTTACAAAGCAGTAAATTAAGCTTTGGAACAGCATTGTTCCAGCAAAAGCAGAATGCAAGAAAACAGCATTTCCATATCCTTTCAAGTGGTGTTGTAAAAGTGTGTAGGAGTTCTTGTCACTAATTTCCGGAATTGTCATAATTACCACTAATTCCTTTCTGCATTTGGCAGTCATACTCCTACTAGGTTATAGTATGTACTTGATAGGGAAAAAAACACCTCTTGTCAAACAAAGAAATTGAATTGCCAGTCCTTATTCTGATGGCATAATTAAAAAATCCAAACATAATTGATTACTGAGATGTACCATTTGAGGATAATTTAGTTGTCAGAGACACTGAGCAGTCCTTCAGTAAATCCACAACTTGCTCACGCTGTTGGATAGGATATACACCCATTTTGGATCCTATTCTGTACATAAAATCATAAGTTACCATTATTTTAAATGACTGCATATTTTGATTTTAAGAACTAAGCCTGCAAAAACTGGTAGGTGCAGTGCTCTTCCTCCTCAGACTGATATTGAAACATTTAATTCACTTCAAAAATCTTACTGTAAGCATTTGATATTTGCAGAAGATACAATGGTACTTCTATTACAGACTTTAAAAACAATACTGGGACATCTGATATTAGTATTACAGCAAAATTGAAGCTTCTTCAGTACACCAACTTGCTTCTTAAGTAGAAAAGCATAATTACTATTCTTGAAAAATCTTCATCAGCATCTACATATGTTACAAAGCAGGATGGCAAAATGAACTGAACTAATTTTAGTGCTATCACCTTGTAATACGGTTATATATGTGCAGCTGGGTACTGTATTTCCATTTGGCAGGAGGGGGAAAATAGTTTTGTATTGGAATAAAATACTTTGTAAAAGTAGCCTCAGCTAACCAGATAAACAGCATTAGTTTCTTTACATTCATTTCAGTTTGTGGTTGTACTGAGTGGCTGCTCATGCATCTTCTGATTAAGTAGTGTGAGTTACCAGAATGAAGTACTCTTATTACTTCAAGTAATTTTGATTCAATCTCAAGTGAGTTTTATTTCAGACTTGTTTTTCATTAAATACAGAAAACCACTGCCTGCTTATATCTTGCAGCAGCTTTACTGTCTTAATCCAGTGAAATTTTATAGTAATTTGAGTTGTGTCAGATTAGGAAAGGCAGCTGTAGCTGATCTCATCTCTTGATAGCCATTGTCCACAGCAAAGGTTTGTCTGTCTCGATGGTTACAATCCCAGAGTTGTCATAGGTGTTGGAAGTACTGACGAGTGTTCCAAACTTCAGCACCTGGTTAGCTGTGAAAAGAAAAGAAGAGACTGATTTTATAGTTGTAGAGAACTATAAAAGGATATCAGTGCATTTGTTTTGAAAGACCACTGCTCCCTCAAAGAACAAAGAAGTAGCTGAATAAATCTAACCCAAATAAATTAGTTATCTAGTTAGAAGGCTTGTATGAGATTTTTCAATGACCTAAGAGGCAATAAATTAATCCCCAAATTAACAGTTTGAGTTTACAGCAGATTATTACAAAAGCAGTTTGTTGGATAATCCTCAGTTTCACATCTGGAAATTTATATTTAATTAGGATCAGTTCAAGTACTAGTGCTAGAAAAGGTATTTAAGGTAAAACAAAGAGGATCTTACTGTAATTCCAAACTTGGGATTTACTTTAGCCGAACAACAAGCCTATAATCTTTTAAAACATGAACAGTTCTAGAGCAAAAACCAGCTGTTAAAAGGGATACTATTTAACAACTTCGAATTAAGGGGCTTAACATCTTCTATTGCATGTGAGGTAGGTGTTTGTGTACATTAGAAACCAAGGGCCATTACTCTAAAAAAAACAAGCCATGCAGTTTAAGTTCTACCTTTCATTTCCCCCCTTTTTGAGATAGCATCATTTTCATGTTGCAAATATGCCAACTTCATCAAAGGCGCTCTAGAACTACTCAGTTCTGTGGTAGTCCTTGATCATAGAATGGCTCAGAGTAAGAACTCTAAATACTATCCTTTGCTTTAGCCTGTAAAACAAGCCAAATGACAGCTCTTACCCACTGGCACCTCAGAAAAAACTTTCCATGGAGCATACGAGAGCTGCAGCTAGGGAGGATTGTTCTGGAATATCAGCAAGTCTGTGTGACCTATCAGAATTGCCAAATTGTGCATTGATACCAAAATAAAAATCTTCTGTATTTGCTATTAAGTGACCCACTGCAAAGGAAGATTTCCCTGTGGTCAAAAGGAGTGCAAAACTTCCTAAGGTTTATGTTGTGATTTGCACAGGAGATGGATTTTCCAGTGTTGGATATGAACGCTGGCTATAGTGAGCTTGGGTGTAGTGCATTACTGCAATGCATGTTACGCTGTCTAGCCCTTGCTGGAAGCTGCGCAGGAAGAACTGATCTTGCCAGGTTCTATGGCTTTAAAAAGAAGGACATTCAGACAAAAGCCAGGGCATTTAGCTCAGTGTCTCTTCTGCCAAATCTGTGCTTGCTGCTACTTATTCCTGCTCCTACGCTTGTTATCAGCTTGAAGTGAACTGAAGAGGAAGTTTCAGCTGCTAGCTGAATTTGTTGGAATGAGAGAGTAACACCCAAGTTTCACTACTGCAAATGGAAGAGTTCTGCCATTTGAAGTTCAGGACCTGGGAGCACAACTGCAACGCAGTGCAGAAATCCAGGAAAAAGAAAAGAAAACCCCTCTCCAGTACTACTGTACTAGATCAAATATGTAGCTAAAATAAAGGTGCTAGATTCTGACAGGATGCTTTCAGACACAGCAGTACCAGGCAGGCTCCTAGACAAATGCCAGGATGAAGGAGTTTTGGTGTTTGCCTTTGGAGGACACAGCAGAGGCCACAGGAGTTGTGTCTTGCCAGAAAACACAGATTTCCCCATTTGCAGGTAAACAAGTAATTTAATACTGAGGTAACACATGGGTAGAGTTCCCTGAGTAAAAATACTTCAAAAATACTGTGTTAAGTGCTGTGATCAAGCTATGAATGTTTCCAGTCAGTTTAAAGTAGGAAAGAAGCTTAAATGATTTAAAACATTTGCTGACACACAAACTACCTTCTTTTGGTTACAACATATTGAAGCTTGAAGGTGGTGGGGTAGAAGAACTTTGTTAGTGAACTGCTTTATAAACCCACTCATTTAGTATCATTTACTGCTTCTTGCTGAAGACTCAGAGTAATACTTAATGTTTCACAGCTTTGCATATAAAATAATGGCTCTGCAGAAGGCAAGAATTAACAACAACATGGCACCTTAATGAAACAAAATCTAAAGCCATATTTCTCAGTGCATAAAATCAAATGAAAATTAGAACCTTTTTTCCCCTTTTTCAATAGAAAATTCTTGCCCACTAGATGGAGCCTTTAATCTTTTATCAGGTTTTCTGGTGGGCAAGGATCGCAGTGTGAAATGCTGAAATGAAAAAAATGCAAAAACTATGAAACAGTACTGCTGATTCATGTGGCTCAAATGGAGCAATTCCAAGCACTTGATTTCACAACCAGCCAACATTTAAACTAACATAATTAAAAATGCATGTTTTCCATTCAATAGATGAACAGTAATTAACGTGAAAACCTAGGTCTGAGCCGGTAAAATAAATAAGAAGGTATGCAAACCTACTGCTGCTAGGCAAACTTTCTGCTGTGTCATGCATTCTAATGGAAATTTACAAAGTTGAAGAAGTGGTAAATTTTATCAATTCACACCTAATCACCTGACTTTTTTTTTTTTATGAATTTCAGTCTTATTTGTTAAGTCTTAGCAAGAACTTATGTCTTGGGGAAAAAAACCCCCAACCTATTACAACACCCAGGTTCGCTACTGAGATTACTTTTCAAAACACACATTCCAAAGAAAACCACCATTTTATTTTCTACTATTTAGTATTTATAGCTTTGCTATAATTGGGTACCAAATCAAATTTTAATAAAGGATTCCACACTGATTAAAACAAACAAAAAAATAATCCAAATCTCAAAACCCCTGGAAATTCTATAATTTTCTACTTAAAAGAAATCTTATTTTGGATCATTAAAAGCTTTTTGTTTGACCAATAGCAGTCTCTTGTTTTTTGTGAGAACTTTAAAGGCTTGATTTGGATAAGCCCATAAGTGATGAACTGAAATACCCCCCAGCATTAGAAGTTTTATTTGGTGCTTTGGTTCCAATCAAACTATGTTTACTGATAATGCATTGTTGATGAGAAAAATACCCAGGCTCCTCCATTGTAGCTATACTATTTTTTCATTACTCTCCATCTATCAAGTCAGCAAGGATTTCAATACTAAAAGCAAACACTCTTCCTGCCTTTTTTTGGAGGGGGAGAAAAAACCCCACCAATATCCCCCTCTCTTCCCCAAAACTCCCTACCCAATGAAATCTGTCACAAGACAGTTTTTTATGGTGTACTTTATGTTCTTATCAGTAACAAATATTTGTCTAATGGATTGTAGCACACCACTTACTCAGACCTAAACATGGGCATGGAGAGGACTGACTTTGACGGGGTAGCGGGGGAACATTTCTCTAGCAGTTTTTGTTGTGTTTAGATGAGGTGTTTCAATCTGCCAGGGTTTGAGAATGTTGGACATTATTTAAGAGAAGAAGACAAGAAAACTGAGGACATGTAGGTGAGCTTCCCAAAGGAGCATAATCACAAAGATCATTACTTCTTAGACAACTGTTTTGCTGACCAAATTACATGGCAGAAGAGATCTCAGTAACCACAAGACTGGCAATTTCCACTATTTTGTTGCTCTTACTCTGATAATTTAAAAAAAACAAAAAACAAACAAATCCTAGGATGACATATGAAAACTGTTAATCTCAGAGATAAAATTTTGGAAATTCATGAATCTTGTGTATGCATGAACAACATGAATCTTATGAACTCAAGAACAACATTTGGAAATGTTAACAGAATGCAACCTATAGGTAATTAAGTTACATAAAGAATTAAAAAAAACCCCAAACCTAAAAATCTGTTTTAAAATATCATCCTATTTATACTTCTACCACAGTAGGGACTTATTTTTGAGTGACTGGTACACAAGACCTGTTTGCAATCCTTGTGCTGCTCGCTTTCAGCCTGGAAACTGAGAAATAGTGTTGCCTACTTATAACTAGATTGGAGGTCATCATGTCAAGTGCTGCAAAAACGTTCTCATCATCAGGTAATTCCTCTTAGTGATTGCAGTCATGATCTAGTAGACTTATAAACATAATTTCCATGTTCCATTTTACTATTTAGGACACTTAAAAGTTCAGTCCAGAGAAAAGAGCTTACCTATCTAAAAAAGTATATCAATCAAGGTTTCATGTACATCTTAGAAGCTTCACTTAAGCAATGCTTGAGGGAAGCATGTACAGAGAAAAACTTCATCCTAAACTTATGTCAAAACCAAATTGTGTCAGGGTCTCACTGCTGTCACCACAAATGACTAAGGACAAAATGCTATCATGTAAAGCATGTCCCACATAGATACTGTGACACTTATGCTATGCTTCCTTTTCTCAACTGTGTCTCAATTACTTCCTGAAATATGTAAAGTCACACCTTGCTGGTTTCCACCACTGAAAACAGCAACAAGGAAAGTAATACAACCATATTGCCACTTCTGGCATGGATATGGAGAATATTAAAATAATTAATTGATAATGAAAAGCTGTACTATAGTGAATGTAATCCTCTTCCCCCTAGGCAAATGCTGCATCAAAATGATAGAAAATTAAGATCAATAAGCTGAAACACAAGCTAAAGTGAAATATTGAATCACCATTTGGTATCCTATTACAGTTTATCTGGAGAGGATTTCCCTGAAGTTCTGTGTTAGGAGCAAAAATCTGCATTTAAGTGGAGATGCATTAGTAATGCATGAGCTAGTACTTTGCAGGTCACCCTGTGTCTGCAGAGCAGCAGCATTAATTTTGCTATTTAAAAATAAAAATCCCAAGTAGTTTGTAGGGTGATTTTCCTTCCATTCCTCCTAGGTTTACACTTGTGGTTAGGCGGACTTCACTGGAGTTAATCTTGATTTACGCTGACGGATACAAAGGAAAAATTGGGTGCTTGATCTCTGTGCAGAGGGAACTGCAAAACTGGAAGTTGCAAATAACAGTAATTTACAATAAAGAATGAACTATTTTCAATACTGATACAACAAAAATACCATAAAGACTTGCTGAGTCTGCTGGGAGGGGCTGACTAGCCTGGTAGTCAGATTCCCTCAGGGCCAAGGGGAGTTTTGAAGAAGCAGAAATTGCATTGGGCATGTTTT